GGGGGGCTGTTCTTCAGTGCAGTCATCCCTCACTTCACCTGATTAGACAGCCAGTGTTTTGCCAAAATAATTGGAGGCCAATTTGGTGCTGCTGCAATTCTTACTAAAGAGTAGAATTGTGGAGGAGAGAATCGGGCAGATTATAATTACATTGTTATGCAGATTACAGATATTGTCTGAGGTGGACATTCTGAGTGTGGAGGTGAAGCAGCACCTCCACCTCACTCATATTCTTGTCTTTTTTCTTCTTTGCATCACTTGTAACTTGTCAGGACTGCTAGAGGATCATTTATGAAAAACCTGTGGATATTAGCCCGTGAATTATTATTATTATTATTATTAACAGGTACCGTTTTTACCAATTGCTTGTCACCTTAAACATTCATGGGTAAACAGCAACAGAGAAAATCACATAAAAACACAACATAATGAACTTCTTCCCATATGCAGTTTACATTTTTGCATATCAGTGCTGAAATTGAACTTGCACAGTTGAAACCAACTTGCATTGATTTAATGAAAAGGCCAATTTGGTTGACAAAGTTAACAGCCGTGGGCTGCTATAGATGTGTAAATGTGTTAAGTTTATTAGCGTGAAAGTTTATGTGTGTGAGTGCAAGTGTGTGTGTATTTCAGAGTGCCTGTGTCTGTTAGTACTTTATGACCTTGAGCTGTCTAGATTGACCAGATTTGCCCCGCACACTAATCTCCAAGCAGTTTTTCAGTACCATGTTGCCTCAAGCAACAAAACGTCATATTGACATTGTGCCAATTTCTATTCTTTGACCTCTTTGATGCTGCTTTGTCCAGGTGAGTTTGGAGAAGTTGAGCCTAACTCTGTTTTTTTTTTTAGCTTTCTGTCTCTAATCCAAAAGGACAGGGTTGATAGAAACAGTAGGCTGATCAATGTGAAATTATAAATGGCTTCTAGGATTGGCTTAATGTCACTGTGGAGGAGATTAGTATTTATTTCAATCAATACATCAGATTTTCTACATGTCTGGTTGCCAATTCAGCCAGGCTTATGTTTGGTTTGTCATAGTAGATAGACCAACAGTATGCCAAAGTAAAGTTCCTCACAGGTCAGTGAGTGTTTTGGCACCATATGTTGCACTGAAACTGTTTAGGTCAGAAGATCAGTTGAGGTTATCGCTTTGTCTTGCTGATGCCCTTTCAATCAGATCAAATCTGTACATTTCCACAGGTTCTTCCATCACTGAAACGTTAAAACTCTTTCCAGACACAGATAAATGGTTTCTAAACTTTTTGTTGCTTGTGTCTTTGACTACTTGTGACCCCTTGTTACATGATGTATGTGAAAATGTTGTGAGCAGTCCAGTTAAAGACTGATTTTACACCCTCAGGGGAATTTCCTTATCATCACTTTTGAGGCCCATATAAGTAAAGCTCTCTATTATTAGACAAAGTAAAAATTAGAAAAAACATTAGCAGAATGTTGACTTTTCTCACTTTCTACCTTGATAATCATCTTATGATCTGTTAGAAGTCACAAGTCACATCTGTTGATTTTCCAAGGTAAAAGGACACATGGTTTTGGGTGTAATTTTTTGATGCTATGTAGATCTAGTGGTTAGGCACGTAAATGGGTAAGTGAGAAAATATAGTTTTCTAATTTGACTGACCTGACCTGACCTGCCACTTAGGGCACATAGGGAAGATGAGACAAACATTAGACTGCCTCAAAGAAGGGCGGCTGTCATGTACTGAAATGTTTACATGCTTTGGGGCTGTGCTCGAATGACATTATATGTAGGGGCAAGGACTAGGCAGAAAAACAACAAAGCATATATGAATTGGCAAGGGTTTGTTATGGCCTTAGGGCTGATTTGAACCACTTTGATTGGTTGTTGTTGCAATTATTATTGTTGCAAGCTGGCAGCTTACATTAACATCTAATTTATGTTTTAATTTCAGTAGAACGTATCCTAAGAAAAACATTGCCCTACTCAAAAATTACATGATTTTATTTTAAAGTGGAAAAAAATAAGAACTGCCTCCTACTCTGTAGGAGAGTTTACACCACGAATAATCATATTATGAACACTTTACACTTCCTACAATAAAAGACTCCCTCAAAGTTAGAATTTGTTTCATTTTGAAATACTGCACAAGGATTGCCTTCCATTCTCTATTATTTTCTGTTGTAATAAACTGTATGTAATATAGATGTCTGCCACTTAAATGAACTGCAGCAGGGCCTCCATTATACAACTGTCCTATCAGTGGGCAATAGAAAGCACCAGTCAACATTTACCCGCTCACACTGCTGTTGGGTGGACATTAAGAGCCTTTCATTCTTTAAAGCCCACTGTGACTGAAACATGCACCACTCCATGACTATACCACAAGCTAGAACTTGACCAATGTGCTGCCTGTGCCTCAGGCTTCATGCATCCATTTAGTCCCACCCCCCCCACCCCGATGTCTGGTATGCTTCACCGATTTGTCTGTTTGTCCTTTGCATAATAAATATTCTTGCACTTACCATATGATTTAGGAATAATAATGATCAAGTCAGATATAAAGTAGACCTATAGGACCTTAAATCCTAATCAAGTGCTGTGTAGTCATAACAAGGAGCTTCAGTTTAAAAAAAAAAAAAAAAAAAAGCATTTTGATGATTTTGACTTTGGCTCGTTGACCTGATAACGTCGGTGTGCCAGAGAGCAGGCCATGACCGATGACCGACTATTTTTACCTGCAACAGGGCCTGAACAGAATGTAATCATAGGAGAACCGGGGGATCAGTCTTTTACTTTACCTGCCACTCTGTATCTCTTTTCTCCTAACTCCCTCTGCAGCAACTGAAGCAATGTATCTGATGTTTGATATTAGATGGTCACCTTAAAGTCTTGTATCCATAAAAGTAGGGAAATGTCAAGCTGCTTAAGAGTCAGAATTGCATTTTTCTTTGAAGGCTAAAACCTAACGCTGTTGCCATGGTGACAAATTAAGGATCAAAAATCTTGCAGCTCTAAACCAATTGTCAAATATCTGTTCACACACAGCATAAGAACAAATATATGAAAAACCCCTAGTGAACAGTATTATGTTCACTTATAGACTTTCAACACTATAAAAGTATAAACCTATCTCGTAACATCTGGCTGGAAGTGTCATATCAATTATTCTGTTTATTTCTAAATGTTAACAGCACAAGCCAGAAGTGTTACTGTCAGAAGCAGTAAATGTCTTCCACCTTGTCTAACTGTTGAAATATAAACACCACTCGAGGTCGTTTCTGACCTAGAGAGCACTTAGCAGTTGCTCAAACAAGCTTTTTTGGCTGTTGAACATGAGGGCTAAAATGGGTCAAAGGCAGTTCTTCACTGTGAGGAAGGAGAACAACAGGGTGAAAGCTGAGCAAATGAATGAGTTACTCAGCAGGAGTGTGAGCTGGGGGCCTGATCAGCTGACTGACAGTGAGACAGCTGACTGATTTTCTGAGTGACTGATGTTCAGGTAAAGCTTTTCTGCTTCTTAGAATACTAATCATGACATTGCACAGGCAGTGAGGGAGGGTGAAAGTGAGAAAGGAACATTGAAAGAGAGAGAAAGGAAAAAGGAGAGTGAAATAGAAATAGAGATGGAATAGCAGCAGGTGAGCAGAGGGAGCTGCATGAGGCTTTGCTGGAGTACAGTTCCAGGTTGCTCTAGATAAGACTCAAGACAGGAAATTGCAATATGGAAGCACAGTGTCTCAAGTGGAATACTAAGAGA